GTCTGATATTCAAATTTCGCTTTCTGTGTCAAAACTACTTGAATTTCCTCACTCACGTTGTTACGACTGAATCGACTTTTCAATTCTCTATCCAACGATGTCAAAACGAATTCTGTGGCTCAAATAGTTCTTGAGAAACGTCGAAAAAAGCAGCGTCATGTTCAAGTGGATTTTGCAACTAAAAAAAACCACGCAAATCTAAAACTTTTTGAATTCAAGCATTTTTTGAGAAAACTGCAACATTTCCTTATCGATGGAATGATGTAAAAACGAGCGTTCTTGCTCATTTTGCTTCCGAGATACGTGCAAAACGAGACGGAAAACATGAAATTTTGCAATAATCTTACGCCACTCTTACGACGATAATTTTTCTAATTTCATAGACAAAAGAAGACTGTAATTTTTCTACATAACCCCTCCCCCCCTGAATTTAAAGCTGGATCCGCCCCTGGCTACATCTTTATGTTTCCAAACTTGAAAAAGTTACTCGCCGGGCAGAAATTTCAGTCCAATGAGGAGGTCATCGTCACCACGGAGGCCTACTTTGCAGACCTCGAGAAAACGTATTTTTCAGGAGGGTTAAAGAAGTTGGAGCATCGCTGGGTCATGTGTATCGAATTAAAAGGAGACTGTTGAGAAATAAATCACCACTTTTCGAAAAATTTCGGGTTTTGTTTGTAGGCTAAGTACTTGTCGGACCGCCTTCGTTTATGCATCATATTTACACTGAAAAAATAATGCGACTAAAATGCTTAGAGAATCCGCAAACCCATTGAAATAATCGATGTAATCCGATTCTAGTACTAATCTCAACATTTTGCATTCGTTTTATGGAAAATGTACCCGAAGAATTGGTTAATTGGCCGGTTAACAAACCCTTGAAAATCACTTAACTCTGGAAAGAACTTTGAAATCTATAAAAAGGAATTCAGATCGACAAACTGTGAATTTCGGGGTGAAATCAATAAAACATCCACAAAACCTGGGATTTTATAGACTTCAATTTCGATACCCTTGACTCTGGACAGTAATGAACATAATTCTACTAGCAAGGGATACTGAACCTCTTTTATTGCTTTCTGCAGTTGACTTGTTAATTTTTATTTATCGTGCCGAACTCACCAATTTTTCGCTCAGGTTTCTATGCAATCAAAACTAGACAAATCAAAATGCGTGGAAATATATACTTTCCTAGTATAGTAGTTTATGCTCGTTATACCAATTATTTTTTGGAGGAAAAGGGGATGTCGGTGTCAATTTTTTCTGTAGAAAATATGTTTGACTTGATTTCCTGGTTAAAAATCAGGATATAAAAGAGGTACTTTTTGTCATTTGGCAAATCAAAGAAACAGTGTTTCAAATTATCATGGAGAGGGATTAAGAACATTTTCTATCAAACCCACACTGAACACACTGACGATTTGCTCGAAACCAATTTCATATAATAATGACATTGTATTATTGACAATGGTTTTGTATTTTCGCAACAATACACTTCAGTAGATTTTCTTACGTAATTGTTTCACAGTTGGCCTGATGCCAGATTTATATCTTTGGAGATTAACTAACAGTTAAATCAGTAAATAACCGCATTTCAAAGTTTAGAAACTCAAAGCGGAACCTTCAAACCTATTGCACCTGTCAGAAATTCAATTAGAGTTTTTTCCCGGTAATTAATGAAACTCATTCCGTGGTGATTTATTACCGAATTGACTTTCCAAGAACCACAATTTGTTATAGAATCCGTATGATTTCAACAATCTAATGCTATATACCTTAGACCTTAAGGTCCTTTACAATCCCGAGATTCTAAGATATTATATGCCTATGTTATATTGTAGCAGAAAATAAGGACGACCTTAGACCTGTGTTTTGTTTTCAGATTATTAATGGTGTTGCATACCGTTCATGGCGTTAGAGTTAATTAAGCTTCGTGTCCCCGGCAGATCCTGGAAATCTCCAGGACTTTGTCATATTATTATTAACTCAGAACAAATTATATTCTCGACTTGCCGTATTACCCTTTTCATTAACTAGTGCCTAAGGAAAACCTAGCTGAATTTTAAAAATATTATTCTCGAAAAACGCTATTAAATTAACCAAAAATTCTGCTAACTAAAGCTCTACTCGTTCAAGTTGATTGGAGAATTGATTTTTCACAATATTTTTGTAATTTATGAAAATTCCTAGTGTGATTTGTTTATACTTGTAATGAATATTAGTAAACAATTTTGTTTATTTTATATGCAGTTGCTTCTTATCTTTCCGCTGTTTACTGCTGTAAAGCCATAAAATCATGGAAAAGTGTTAAATAATGGCCACACGTTCGTTGGATGGATTTCCTTGTTTACCCTGCAATAACCCTCCTACGTAAAATGGAGCAATATGCCATATTTTCATTAAAACACCATTTCGAGCAAAAAAATCAAATGTGAATCTAATGAGAGCGATGGGTGCTGTTGATTGTCTTTTAAACTTTTTGTGCGTCGAGATGTATTTGGTTGAAAATTTCCATTTGCAAATCTCTAATAGTGAGACTTTCGGTTTGAAATCCAACATGGAACAGCATAACCATTTTTCGTAATACAAAGATGATAGCAACATGTTTCATATTATCTTTAAATATCCTCATCCATCAACACACTTTGAAATTTCTCCATTCCTGGATAAGACAGGTGATTTTTGTTGAAACCATCCATTTTCGATCAGAAGTAAGATTAGAAAATACGTCAAAGAAATTATTGAGGGAAAACGTTTACATTTCGGAGTGATTAAATGTATTTTTGGAATTTTCATTAGAACACCATTTCGAGCAGAAAAATCAAATGTGAATCTAATGAGAACGATGGGTGTTGTTGATTGTCCTTTAAACTTTACGTGCGTCGAGATGTATTTGGTTGAAAGTTTTCATTCGCAAATATCAAATGGTCATACTTTCCTCATCCATCAGCAACCTTTGAAATTTCTCCATTCCTGGATAAGACAGGTGATTTTTGCTGAAATCACCCATTTTCGATCAAAAGTAAGATTAGAAAATGCGCCAAAGAAATTATTGAGGGAAAACGATTACATTTCGGAGTGATTAAATGTACTTTTAATTGAGTGTTTATTTGCCCTTTCAAATTAAGTTTTCTGTAAATCAGTTTTCCAAGTGATTTAAAGAGCCTTAGTTGGCATATTTTCCAATAGTTCCAAGATGATAACTATATCTGGCTTATTCGGTAAATCTTACACCTACATCTACTGCACAATTGGAAATCACATCACTTAAAATGGAAATTCAATGTGAGGTAAAAACACATTTTTCAGCGAGATAGAGTTCACCTCATTTTCAAATGAATGTTTGGGATTGGCTCAATCAAAGATCTGCGAATCGATGGATTGTTGGGAAACAAAATGACCTCATCAGATCCCAGATTTTTCACGATTCGATTTCTTGCTCCGAACTTAACTTAGAAATGCGAGCTTTAAACTGAGCAGTCAATTTAGACTTTCCGCGGTAATGGTTAATTGGCTGTCTAATACCTGCTCAACTAATTTAATATACTTGACGAGTCAGTAAAAGAACTTTAAACAGGGAAAGTTCAAACACGCTCCCAATTTTTCTCGTAATATGTGATAGAGATCTAATCTAACAAAATGAAAAATTTCAGTGCTTCTATCTTTGGCTTCAAAGGCACGAAGTCTTTTTGCTATAAAATGAACTTAATTACAACGCATTTGAAACAAAATATTTTGTAATAGAAGGCTGTTTTTCCGGAAAATATTAACTCTGCTAGGCAACTAATGGAATCACGAACGAGCAAGCTTGAAAGCCCAAATAAAAATAGACGTCTGTTTTTTTTCAATGGCATTGGTTGTATCCTAAAAGCTTATTGACAACGCTGATAACGGAACTCAATGCGTTGAATCTAATAAGTTTGCATTGATTTTGTATTTAAGAATATCGAGTTCCAATCAACGCTAATTTTCTTGATGTGTAAAATCGATCGGAAAATTACCGATAATTCTGACAGCAAACCCAAACAGACGCAATAAAACTAAAGGGATATTGCATTCGGATTTATCTCTTTTCGAATCATTAATTTTTCTGCTATAAAAGTTTATGATTGGGGCGGAAGGAACAAGATCAGCGAAAGGTTTTTGGGCGCTTACCGAATTTTATTGCACTTATAAAAGGGAAGTTTTCTATGCCTGACTTTAAGACTTTGACTTTGCGACGCATCTGATGGTTTATATTATTACATTTTTCGAAAATTAATTTTAAATATTGTTTTGTATTATTTACTCTTTATTTATTAGATGTTAGGTATAATAATTTAGTTTACCATTCATCTTTATCAGATGAGGTTTCGCAGGTTTTAATTTTTGCTGATCTAGATTTTTAAATTTACTATTGTGACTTAATTATGTATGTAATAGAAAACTTATGACATAAACGTGAAGTTGAACTTACCCTGTAACTCTCAGAGAAGCGACATGTCGTCAGAAGGTTCACGAGATTCTCTAGGATCAGTTTGAACTCCTGCACAGGAACTACGTGAAGGGGTGGCAGCTCCAAGTTTTTCCAATGGAATTGCTTCTGCCGGAGTTCCTAAAATGTTTTCCAAATATGTAAAATATGCTTTTAATGCGCAGTACAATCATCATATTTATCTGGATCGCTTCAGTTCTCCACTGTCGTTTTCCTAGCAAGTTTATACATTTTTACTTAAAAAACTAGCGAAATTTAATCTATTCAAAAATTATCCTTCTTATGGCGAAAACTATATCAACGCTTACAAATAGTGCATTGAGAGAAATCGATAATATTAAAAGCCTTATTTTAATGAATATTTTTGTAGGAGTTGGGAAAAAGTTGCTTAGCGAGGATTTCCCATAGAAAACATAAAATATCCATCAGGACCTCTAACCTTTAGTGCCCGTAATATCGAAAAACTCATTCGAACATTCATAATATAGGACAGCTCTATTGAAATAGAGTGGAATGCAAATGTCCAAAAAGTGCTATTGTTAGCGGGAACGGATAAATATGTGTTTTATTTTTCGATGTCGCAGATTTTAGAAATGTTTTTCATAGACAAGGAGAACATTTACTGAAGTGATTGACCATTAGTATTCCTGTTAATAATCAAATAAAAATATTATTCCTAGTAAATTGCTAATGACTCAGGCCTTAAAAGCATGTTAAATTTAAATAGTTTGGGAAAACCCAATCCCTAAGGGCTAAATACTTATTTTTATTAGCTGACACAATGTTGGGATTATCTTTTCACACGTATGAGAGATGTATCAAGATTTGCACTAAGAAACCATCAAGTGGTTTATTTGACAGAATTTTAGTTTTAGTTTAAGCTTTCTTCGGCCATATATATTTTCCTCCTGGTCAAGCTATGGAATTTTCCCTTCAGATTTCATACATAGATTGTAAATAATTTTGGCACTTAACATACAGCAAAGTGTAATTTTTTTTTACACCGTAGCAAATCCAAACTTGTAACTATGGTTTGCTTGCACATTTAAACACATTTCTAGAACAATTAATTGATCATCGAAAATCAGTATCATATGCAAATAAAAACATTGAAAGGACCTATTCCTGATAAGTTTTCCATTCATGAGTCGCAATTGTGCACATCTATATTTAGATGTGGTTTTTGTAAGGGCGCAATAGGCAAACCGGTATTCGGCCGAGTTGTTTATTTAGTGAAAACATTTTTTAATCGGTTGCGAAGTTTTCCGGACTTATAAGCAGTTGACTATTGAATTTGCTTCCTGACTTTTCGTTCAAGCTGCGGTGAACAGCATTGAAAGTATTAGAACACAGATATCTTTGATAATGTTTACCGTGGATGTAAGCGAAACATTAGATTCCAATGGTCTTCGGATTATAAACCCGGACATTTTTTGGACGGATACTTTGATCGGCTGTTTTTTTCGAACAGTTCAACTTTTATTTTAACTCGTTGTCGCAGTTTAGATTGTATCGGTGAAGTGAAGTGACGCATTTTATATATGAGATTTCAAAAGGTGTTATTTAAGCTGCAGAACTATAGAATTCGTTATTGTTGCCTTATAAACAGCAGTCAATTTTACCAACTTGCGGGTCACTAGAAACGGGCCAGATTTGTGCAGAAAACCTACTTTCAGATGGACTATGATTACCTTTCAATTCCATGGATGACGTTGCATAAGAAGTGGAAGGTTGAGCGTTGTACTTCTTGTAAGTAGCACTATTCATAGTCAGTTTTCTAACATTTTTGTCGGGGTGGAATACGATTATGTACACCTTGGGAGAATACAAACATACCAGAGCAACAGTTGCATTCATACTTGTTGCTACACATAAGGTCGTTATTTGAGTCTGGAACAAAAATTATTATTGTGTCTAAAACTTCGTAAACAACTCTATTTATTGTTATAAAAAATGACCTGCTCAAATAAATCAGTTTAACACATTTCAATTCTACTTATTCTGGATCCAATCCAAGAGTTTTTCCACTCAGTTTTATTAACGAGACTACCAAAATTTCAGCTTTGTATCTTTTTTATCCATTTGTCAGCCAGTATTTGGAAGGAAATAATTTCTTGCTGGATTCAACTTAATAGTGTTCCAAATTCACTTGGCTTTAAACTCCAGCAAACAATGATAATATATTGCCGTTTAAAGGCCCGCATCCCATCTCCGATAAAGAGAAAAACGCTTGAAACCGTTTTCACATTTTAGGTCTAATTTAAAAACAAAAAATGCCATATTCAATATTTTTCTCAAGTTTACATTGATTTCTCTCTTTTAGCTCAGCAAATTCTAGGTATTGCCTTCAAAGGCTAGTTAAATATAGAAACGAAAATAGAAAAAAAGGGTTTAAAGTTGCGAATGATAAAAGCACGAGTCAGTGATAAAAGGTTTGATGTAAATGTGAGTTTTGGAACAGATTTGTATAGATCTATACTTCTCGGCCTTTAAACACTGCTTGTCAATCAGCTCTTGTATAACTTTGAAATTTATTAAAGAAAAAACACATGTTCAACTCATGGAATCCTTTGAACGTATAAGTATAACTTTACCTAATTTACTCCGGAAATAATTTATCTGCTACAGAAAAGCATTTTCTCCTAATGAATTAAAGAGTTGCTGATTTTGATTAACACTTGTCTGCTCATTTTATTTATATATTGAAGTCTATACAGGCTGTCCCGCGAATATGGGCTGCTAACCGGAACTAGAAAAATACAAGTCCAATAATTCCGAAAATTTCGGCACTTTTTTAGAGCTAGAGGTTTTAGAGCAACCTAAAATCTAAAAAAGTGGCCTGGACCAAAAGTAGGCGTTAAGTCGCTTTTTCTTCTTAAAACATTAAGTTCTTCCAATGTCTCTGAACATTTTTTATGTTATGTTTTTTTATGACATTTCACATGTTTTATCTCTGAAACTTTTGAAAATATTTGCATTTTATTATAATAAATGTACAGATGCAGTCCTGACCGTTTTTACCTATACATCACAAATGATAAAATATTTTGCAACGAGATTTTGCAAAGTCGTCAAAAATGGCTTAATTTATTTAGGCATGTATGAATTATGTATTATTTTTATTCCGATTGTTCCTAAAAAAATGCCAAATTTACCATAGAAAATCATAGACAAAGAAACGTTTTATAAAATGTAACTCTTCATTTTCCTCGCAGAAGGGCGTTCAGTTACAAAAATAACTATCACTTAACATTAGAAGATTTAATTTTATTAGAAAATAAATTGTTTCTCTTAAGAAATTTACAATAATTATATTATGTATTTTTAATTATTACATTCTTAATAACTTAAACTATTTCGTTCATTAAAGCATAAAAAATGCTTTCCTAAAATAAAATGAAATCCGTCCAATTCAGGTCTAGGCAAGTTAATGGAAAGTGAACCTTAATTTTGAAGATGAACACTTGTGAGAAAAATAGGGTAATAACTTAAAACACGTTAGATTTTCTGAGATTTAGTATGGCAATCTTGACCGTTTTTAGGAACAATCTGTGCGAAAGTAGGGTGTTTGCCTAAGCCAATTACACCCTTTTTAGGAATCTGCAAATTCCCATTGTATAATATTTTGTCATTTGAGTAGTATTGGTAATAACGTTTTCTTATTTATCATAAAAAATGCAAATATTTCCCAGATTGTTAGAGATAGACATAATACATCATGCTTACAAGTGTTAGGATTCTTTAGGAGAACTTAAATTTATAGTAATATACAGAGCGTTCCAATTAAAATAAAGGACATGACGTCTATTTCTGGTATTTTAAATTTCTGAATTATTTATTGCACTTGTATTTTTCGAGTTATGAATAACAGCCCATATACGTGGAACACCCTGTGTAGACTGAAATATGTAAATAATTTGCCAGCTACTGCTGTTATGGGTGTTAACTTAAATTAATCATCAAATAGAAGTTGAGAAGATAATTTAGTTAAAATATTTCTGAAAATTTCCATGCTAATTAAAACATTATTATTTGTAATTGGGCATCTTTTTAAGCACTTTAAATGCGGTGTTTGCCTATGCAAATCAACTTATTTCAAACTGGCATTTAAAACAATTAAGTATATTTGGAAAACTTTATCCAATATTTTAATTCGTCATTAAAAAGTTAGACGAAGATAAATAAAATATATTTCTGAGAGGTAAAATGTTGGTTTAAGAATGGAAATTTACAGAAAGTCCTTATTTCGTCCACAATAAATTTGGAGTTTTAAGCTCAATGCAAAATTCTTCGAAATTATGCTGCAAACGACAAGCAAAAATTTGAATAACAAATAAGAATTTTAAAATACAGTACGAACTAAAGAGGCGCAAAAGCCTGAAAATAATGTCAATTAAGCGAAGCTTACAAATTTGAGCCGGAGCTAAACGCTAAATGATTATTATGCATTTAGTTGTATATGTATTTAATTTTTTCATGGCCATTATGAAATTAATTTTAACGTTATTGGTTTGTTACTCGGCTCTAACTTTTCGATTACCACGTACCTACAGGATTGGTTTTGTTTTTTAATGCGGCCGAGCTGGGTGATGCGACTCTACGCCATAAGCCCGTAAAACTACTATTACTACTCGGAGCGATGCGATTGAAGACAAAAAAAGTTTGTGTTTTGTCGGCGATCGCAGCGATTTTTGGACGTTAAAACATGAGTTATGTCACTTTTGGCTGACTTGTTTTGAAAAACTCACTTTAATAGAAAATTTCTGGGAGCTTCCATGATTTTTTCAGTTACAAAGGGGAGTCGACTAACCTTTGGTAAGCACGAGTTTTTCAAAAATTTGTGAATGTGGCCCATAACAGCACTCGAAAGAAAAAATCGGCTGGTTTAAGTAAGAAAAAACGCATTGGATTAGGAAATTTTTGGAGTTTCCAGGAAATTTTTTTGTCAGTCAGAGCTAGATTAATCTGATGTGACCATCTTTTTCTTTTGATTATTTTCACTCTTCTAATCACTGTACTGGTGTCCCCAATAATAGCATCAGCGTAATGAAAGAAAATCCATGGAAAATACGACCTTTAACTTCCGAAGCCAAGCTTTAACCTAAACCTGAGAACACTTAAAAATCGCGTTCTAAATGCACACTCGCTCGAATCCGCTCGCATCGCTTGTCCACTTTGCTTCGCCCAGCTCGGTCGCTAGTGTGCACGTACCCTTAAGCATTTTATAGACTATTTTTACGTACAGAAAATTTTTGTAGCTGTACTAAGGGTTATTTTGACTCGGTTATTGAGGATAAGGCATTGAGGATAGCATAACGCACCAAAAAAAACCAAAACTTTCTTCTCAATGAAAGTTAACGATGTTTTGGTATTTCACTAGTTTGTTTTTTCATAACATATTAAAAGAATCGAAATACCTTTTCGGGGAAATTATAATGCGAAACTAATAAAAAGTTGCTTTAATTAAATAACTGATTAACTAGAAAGCATCTGCGACTGTAATTAAACAAAGCAAATTTAGCAATAACATTGTGGTAATTTGTGCAGCAAAGTGATCCATTCGTACCAATATTTTGAAATTTTACGAAAATTGGGTAGTTAGCTTCATTTTTCATAATGGTTTTATACACTATTTAAATACTCAATATCTCCATTTTTGCTAATTCAAAAAATGTCCTTTACAGGTAAATTCTGGAATTGTATTACATCTTCTCTTTAACTCAAGCGAAAAATTTTAACCAATTTTTGCGTGTCCAAATAGGAGCAATTGGGCACTACTTTTACCACCAACGAAATGAAAAAAATACTTTATACACTCGTAGAAAGACAATTCATTTAACCAAAGTCCAGCTACTATATTTCATTAACTTTAATACTGAAAATAAACCTTAGTTGAATTAGCTCATTTTAAAATTGTTTTTTGCATTTTGTCCCGTTTTCCGTTTTCCAAAAATACCCATATCTATTTAAGTAAGTCTTACAAAATATAACTGTTACGTCCCGATATCGACCTAAAAGACGGTCCGGATAATACTTGAAATTCAAGTTTATCCAAGCACACTTAATTTCCAAGACAGTTCTTCGCTTTAAACTTTTACTGTCGGGTGATTGTTTCATTTTTCTCCTATTTAGTTTGATGCATAAATCTCAGTTATCTATTAACATAATTAGAACTAAATTCATAAAGTATCTTGGTTCTGGACTCTCGAATTAATTTCGCTGAACATCAGAATTTCATTACATGATACTCACCTGATATGAATTTCCTGTTCCAAAGTAGATCGGTACAAATGCAAGCCAGATAATGCAAGTGGTGTACATAGTGAATCCGATAAATTTAGATTCGTTGAAGTTCTCAGGAATTTTTCTAGTTTTTATGGCATAAACTGTGCAAGTGGTGATTAGTAACATGTTGTAAAGTTGAGAAAATATGAAAGATCTGTCTTGCATTTTGCATTTGGGAATGACCTGTAACAATAAGAAATTTATTTTAAAATTATTATTTGCTTATCAAGATTTTTCTCCATTTAACCAATAAACCAAGAGTTGCAACTTTTGAAATCAGCTGATTAACTCAAGCCAGGTAGGGACTAAATTGGCACATTTTTGTATAAATCAAATTAGGAATGTCGTCGACGTGAAACGAACTATTCAGCTTTTTTGATTTGATTCCCGATATGGACGCCTAATTAAACGTTTTCGCTTCTTTTGCAAGTAAAAATGTGACAATTTAGTTTAATAAAATTAAACAAATTTACAAATTCCTCGTGTTTAAACCGATAAAACACAAAATTATGCGATATTTTGGCCATAAATTGTGGCTTGATTTAGACTGGGTTATATTGCCTAGCCCACTGCTGATTAACATTAAGAAGTGGATTGAAGCTTCGATATATTATACATTTAAAGATAATTTGAAATAAAACGCCCATATTTGAGGCCGAGTATGGGGGAAAAAGGAAGCGTTTGCTTCAAATCACCCCAATTCTTTTCATTATTGCTTTCGTTCCTATTACATTTCCTCCTCCGACTTGAAGCGGCTATAAAACCAAACCATCAGCTTTCCTTTGACCACCATCCAATAAAGTAAATTACTTATGATAGTAGGTTTCAGGAACGATTGCCATCTTGTGTTTATACGTTGATGTAATAATGATTTTTAAAATTCTTATCAGATATTGTTAAAATCATTGTAAATCATTTTCCCTTCATAGATAATACTGTTCAAGTCAGAAATTCGATTCCTGTCCTAAAAGAATAATGGTCCTCTCGCTGATATTTTGGGGTCGTGAAACGTTCATTTTAAATCATTGTTCGATAACTCTAGGATAGAGAATGTAAGATAAGAGGTTTTATTATTTTTCCGCCCTATATTCTTAACAATTTACTACACAAGGTCCACTTTATGAGTGATTGTTTAAAAAATATTTATAATAATAAAGGCAAATTATAAATGATAAGGTATATAAGATATAAAACTTAACATACATTAACGTTAAATTTAAACTAATTAGCTGTACTTACCGATTGCCTGGTTGGATAATGGAATTTCGTTCCTGGCGGTTCAGCTACCATCCAAAACACTGTTATTAAGACTTGAATGGTTATTAATAAAAGCGTAATGAACACTTGAGATCTAGGGCTAATGAAAGTAGGTCGCTTAGCAGATTTGGAAGCTGAATCAAAAATCCGAGATATTCTGTTAGTTTTCGTAAGTAGTGCGCCGTAAATTATGGAGAATCCTATTCCAACGCCAAACCTTTGAGTAGTGCATATAATGAGAGACGGTTTGGCTAGCAGAAGGAATGTATTCATGTAGCATAGTAAAATTCCGAATAACAACATGTAGCTCAGTTCGCGTCCAGAAGCTCGAACCAGTGGAGTATCGTTGTTTTTAATAAACAGCCCTGAAAATCAATTTAACCGTTTATTAATTCAATTCGCTTTATTTGCCGTAACAATTGGCATTGGCAAATAAAGAGCTATTTGGTTATGGCCATAAACCAACATATCCAATAATGTGATCATCATATTGAGCTCCAAGTATTTTATTCAACCAATATGCTCAATTATTAAAGAAAATATTCCGCAAAATAAACACACGAATATACAAATAATGCAAAACTTCTGATTGAAGCATTTTTTAAAATTTTTGAAACAAAAGGAATTTAATGAAAAGACAAACATATTTTATAAATGCACAATTATAAATCGACAAGTCGATCAACATTTTCAGTACGTAGAACATTTTTTTTTAATGCGCACGAGTTACCGAATAATCCTCCACATACTGCTAAATATTCAAATGGAGATACCATGTAATGAACCGAAATGGACGCCAATAGAGCATGTCGCTCTATCGAGGTGTATGTCATCCATTATTGGATTCCAAATAAACATGCAGTTAGTCAATAATAGAGAAGCAATTATGACATATGTAGCAAATCAATGCACGGTGTCGGATGAAGTTGTTATTTGGTTTAATTTGGCTTTTCGCGGTACAGCTTCAGACACTGAAGATAGTTTAAAATCTATGGGAATTATGAGTTTACTTCACTTATGTATTTTACTATTTATGTTAAATTTATAACTTAATTTCAAATTGTCACAATCACATCTTTTAGGTATATACAGGGTGTCCCGAAAAATGTTGACATGCTTTTGGGCGCATTCCAGGGTGCAAGCTAAGTTTTTATTAAAAAATGTATCCAGATCTTTCCTAGCAAGACATAGGCTTTTAAAAGACACCGCTAAAACTCGGCTGTATTAACTAACTTTTAAAGTACTTGGTATATTTTGATAATTTTTTAATATCATAGATACACTTAATGCCCTATGATTTGAAATACGATGTCTTTCAACTTCCGTTTGCTGTTTTGGTGGCTATAAATAGCGCCGCTTGTGCTCATTAATGCTCATATTTTTAACACCCTGTACGATAAAGATACGTTTAAGCTAAAAAATATACTCTTGTTTGACATCAATAAAATGAATCTGTTTCGAAAAACTCCTATCATTTAAACCAATTGGAAATTAAATTAAACCTTTTAAACTTTTTGACATCGAATTTAAGAATTGATAATTTAACTGATTAATTATAAACTTCATAAGCTGGGGCAACATGGGCTACTTGTAGTTTTAAAAATTCTCGTGCATCTTAGAATTGTATTCCAGCATTATTTGCGCGGACTGAAGCACAATTCTTTGCAACATTTGTTTCCGAGTTTCAACAGCAGTGGGATAAAAAGTTTCCGGTGTCCCCTGAGATAAAAATCCAATGGATTTAATTCGGGTTCACCCAAAGGATTTGCGAATCTCGTGATTTGAAAAAATATGGTTTAGAGGCTCTTGCGATTTTGAAGTAATTACTTTTAATAACTAACGAGTTTCTAAACAGCAGGTGTCAGATACAAAGTTTAAGAAAAAATATATGCCATTATATGCAAAAAGCAAGAAGATCTTAAAATTGAACTTCCTAAATAGAATTAATTTAATACTAGTAACTATATTTTAATAGTAACTGCAAAAATTGACAGTATAGAAAAACATTTAGCATAGCGAGATGGTTGCGCGCGAATAGGCCTGGATAACACTGTGTTGAGTTGCGCTATTGAGTTGTTGCCGCTCTCTGAGTAAACGAGGTATGACTCATTGGTTAATGAGGTCAACGGTCATTTATTAAAGCTTTACGAGAATCGAGACTGGAATTTTCACATCTAAAAAAATGGTCATCAACATATTTTCTTAGTAACGTTTTACTACTTTGTTCAAACAACTAAAAAACGTTATGTAGACTTTCCCAGCAACAGAACCCAAGTCCAACGAAAGTCGACAGGTTTTCATGTAAAATCATATGGATCCATTTTTTTGCATAAAAGATTCAGTTTGCCAGTATTTTACAGTAAAACGTTAGAAAAAACGCGGTTTTTCGGTTTAGAGACAGTGTTGTTTAGAAATATTGACCTTAAAGTGAAGAAACCCCAGTTTCCAAGAGTTTTCCAAATAAATGATTATAAACTTCCCCTTTTTCAGTTGGGGAAAATATTTTTGAAAAAGACCCAGAGTTAATTATTAGGGTTTTGTCCATAATTCGAAGCAGCAAAAAGTATTCCAAAAATTTTTGCAAAGCGGTTAAGGAGGCGAGTTCTCCAATAAAATTTCAATATGATATAATTTTTCACAGGAAATGCCTGAAGATTGTCAGTATTTTAAGAAAAACTAAAAATAAAGCGATTTTTGCGTAGAAAGAATTGCTTATAATAAACGTTGTTAAAACTGAGAAATTTAGTTTCGTTTTTGTCTCAAATTCGACGCTGAAAAAATTTTTGTAAAATTTTTGCGTCAGTATTTTTAGTAAAAGTAAAGCAAAAAAAAACAGTCGAGACCAAAAAACCACATTTTTTAACTATACAGTCTTCAGGAGATGACGAGATTGCCAAATAATATGTTATAAATATTTGCATATTATGTTAGTTTTCTGATAGAAAATTGTTTGATTTTTGTTTCAAATTCGACGCCGGAAAAGGATTTCAACACTTCCGAAATTCCGAAATATTGAAAAATTTTAAAAATATTATGAATAAATGATCCTTCTAATAAATCTAAAAGCAAGTAAAAAAAGTCATCAACACTTTTCCAGCAGCGGAACCGAGTTACTGTGCCGGTGCGTGGGGTTGGCGCACCAAGTCATTTGCGTGGCACTGCGACTCCTAAAAATTCACTGAGTTACCCAGGCCTACGCACTAACACATTGAAACACACATTTTGATTCAAAAGCGCGATCTAAAGAAGCGTTATATAGCATCTGTCACCTTCAAACATTAACAAATTTCAAGTAATTAAAAAGTTTTTTGAATAAAAACGGGTTTTAAACGTCGTCTTTTTGGGACCTATTTTAGTAGGACAGACCGATAGCATCGTATATGAATCCGAAAGCGTGCCCAAAATTTCGGGAACACTCTGTATATTGACATACTAACGCCTACCCATCTCATTATAGAGTAGCAAAATACGATTTATTAAAATTTTCAGGAACAGGAAGGAAACATTTGAATATGTAAAATACATTCCATGAATTATGTACTTTTGTCGCTTTTTTGAATTCCAAATAAAGTTTTATTTTATTCAACTGAAGTTAGCACTTTCAGCAAAACATTTTCATTAAGCTTAAGAACGTTTAGCACAGTACGGATATTCTGCGAAAACTCTTACATTTTTCGTCTTTTGTTTTAAATAAGATAAATTTGCTTTGTATTCTTATAAAACCACCTGAATTATTAAAATCTGACAAAAGAAATTCCTTCAATTGGAGCTTGGCGTGGGTTATTATAAACGTATCAGTCATTAAATTTGCCTGAAAAAAAAAATTTGTCTGCTTTTGTAAGTTATTATAAGCAGCCTGTTTCACGTTATGTCAAATTAATTCTAGCTGTTTTTTTGAACTTATAAAGGAAACCGCTCATTGAGGGATCTCATCGGTTTTTGAAAGGTTCTAAATACTGAAATACCTCTTTAAGGACCGCAATAATTTAATGTATCTAGAGAAATGTGAAAAATATGTATATTTCTTTGTCCGATGTAAATTATGCTAATACAAAGATATTTCATTGCCATTTTCGCTTCATCTTTATAAGTAATTGGACGAAACTTTTGAAAAGTAGCTTGTGAAAATGCCAAATTTTTAAAGCTTCTTTTACAAGTAATCATTAGCATTCAGAGTGTCCCAACAATTTTTTGCTTGCTTCATTTATTGTTTGACAATTTTGAGAAATTCTATAGAACACTTAAGTGTAACTAAGTACAGAAGTTAAGAATTATTCTTACCAATAACGATTAGTGTGCAAATGATTCCCAAGCATGAGAAAACACAGGGTATGATTGCGAAGAGAGAATCCCATTTCATGTAAAAATATTCCAATTCGTAGCAGGCCGTTTTGTCTGGATAAGGCCAGAAGCCATAACCGCAATCAGTGCAGGTGAATTCGTCTTCCAAAAATTCGTAGTCTTCACACTTGTCACATATCCAGCAGCACGTGTCTCCCTTAAAAATGAATGAAAATATCAACTACTTGTTCGAATAGTCGGAAAATGCAAATTAACTGACTCCCTCAACAAGTTTAACTTATTCAATATTAAAGACTAGAGTTATACTAACTGTTTGCGGAAATTTATTTTTAAGCAGAAAAGTATTGCCAGGTAACTTTTAATATTTACTTTGTTCCAAATTTTAAAACCAAAACTGCTAAACTAAATTCAAAAATAAGGCTTTTATCCTAAATATTTCTCATGTTAAATTATATTTATTTTGCTTCAAAAAGTGAAATACATATTAATTTTTCATAGGATTCAACGCGATTTATCAATTGGCTTTGTAATGTATTCAGTGGATAAATTTATTAGGAATTTTTTGTTCTCGAACTTAATTTAGGCAGAGTTCATCCCGTAGCATAACCATTTCATATGAATATTAAGAAGGAAATGTTTTTGAAGCGTGATGTTTCCCGTACTTGTGTTTTAAAATACTAAAAGACTAGAATAAAATAAAACCCACCAATTGTTTTGAAGAATTCCTATAGCATTGAAAAGCAATGACAATAAATAAGTTTTATGCCAGCTGTGTTTCCTCTATGTGTATAAATTATGTCGTTTAAATTTAAACTACCTTCATTTATTTAGCTTTTCCGGGACATTTCCGGAAAGTCTGATTTCTTGATGTTTTCAATAGAGATTATACTATAAATTACCGAGATTGAAGTAATAAAATAGCAAGCTTACCCTAGCTTAGCAAGCCTTGATATAGTCTCAGCTACTAATAGAACACTAGAAAGCTGAAAAAAATGCTCTGGAATGTTTTCTATTTTACTTAATCCCAGCCCTCAATCTTGAAATGCATACCAGTATTTCTCGTATATCGATATTAGGTCTCTTATACCGATTTATTCTCACGTCTGAAATACTGCATAAAATATGGAACGTTCCAGCGATAAAATTTAAATGGTAAAATTTAAGTCGAATTTTTCCATTATATAGAAATTTTTCAAAGCCATAAAGAGGGTTATCCACCAAAATATAAAGTAGGTGATTTCACGCTATATGCCACTTTAAAAAATTAGCTATTATCGGACATTTAGTTATTTTATCGAAATTTCCGTAGTCATGCCTTTGCTTCATCTCTCCACAGGGAAGCTTTATTTAACCCCATAGCAATTCATAAGTATGACAAATGTTTCAAATAATTTTAATTTCGGCAGTTGTGAAGGAGATTGATTTATCTACTCTTGAGAGAACGTTTATACTTCGAAAATGAAAGGCTATATATATGGCCTTTTTCAGATAAATGGCTGTAAATGATTATCTTTTTTGGCCTTACCTAAAATATATATTTTTAATTCGTTCAAGATTGATTGTCTTACCTCAAGAGCTATAATATTTCTCAGAAGTAAATATTAACTTTTGACAATTTCCGAATTTATCAGCATTCACTAATGTTAGCGTGTCTAAAATTCTAGCATGTCTTCAGTTGTTACTATGTCAATTTATACACCCAGTGTTACCTTGTATTCGGTTATTTGACATGTTTACGCCAATTTCATCATTCCCCATCTGAATAAAATTGTCACAAATCTGATACCGACCGACTTACTTTCTTTACAAATCTGACTGGTAAAATATAGCTTGAGTTTATCATCTCTGGGGAAAATATTATGTTCGAAGCGACTCGAGAGTATATTACAAACGTCCGAAATAATTTTGATTTTCACATTTTAGAGAAGCATGCATACATTTTCTGTGATATTAGATGTGGATATGTATTTTTTATTTGTGCGAATTAAAAATTCTCTGCTTTCCTGACGTTTGAGCAAGTTTGTTCAAGTGTAACGGCGACATGTTGATTAATTGCTATAAGTTAAGTGTTATTGTGTTTAATTTCATTACATTCGATATTAACGGTTCTAAACTGTCACAAAGCCTTAGAAATATATTTTCGGGCATGAACTCTTCCTGAACTAAAATCTCTCCTATTATTACACTGAGCAACCCAACAAGTTTGATCTCATATTGCAGAATCATCTTCTAGATGTAATATTACAAAGTAATTTTCTATTGTGGCTTCATCAGCATCGCGTTTCATTTTTGACTTCATAACTTTTAGAAAAGCTCAGATCCTTCCTAAAGAGGAAAATTGGCCAAAAGTTTTCAACTATCGATTGCTAAGCTACGATTAGATTCCAGATATTCTCAACGTAAATGATTCATAATTTTACTCAATCTAGAGTTACTATTTTTTGCAATGAATATAGTTTGATAATATCTAAATCAGCGTAGAAATGACGTTATGACAATTGTTATTTCTGAAATTTTCGGTTCAACAAATATTTTTTGTGGATTTCAGTTGAATTTCAATGAAGTATTCAATATGCATGCCTGCCAGAAATTGTTTGTCCATATGAAAGCTAAAAAGGATTCGTATATTCACCAGATTTTTGTGATGTTTCAATACTTCAAACATAATTTTTCTTGTTACTTTTGGGAGCAAAGGTTTTAATTACCGTAGTAATAGACTGAATTATTGTGCAATAAGTATAATTCTTCACATACATTGGCGACTTTGCGTGATTTCGGAATTTGCGGATAGAAATTTGGTATAAGTAAGGGGGCGGATAGATTTATTAAAACAATCTACATAATTAGTGCCATGACATGGGTGCTGTAATTATTGGTCGCGTATATCTAGGATCATTTAGGCTACTTATCCTCCGACACGCTATATTTCCAAAGCGATTAAATTCCAGACTTAGTATTCGTTGCGACTAAGCGACCTCGCAGCAACTCGTAAATTATTCTCTATTTTGGCTTGCTACTAGAATAATGCCTCATTTTTTACAAATTAAAATTTTGCGCCATCTTTTGTATGCCTAGAATATGATTCTAGTAGGTCAATGGTGATTGGCAGCCGCCAGATAAAATTCAAGACTTTTGCGGGCTATTTACTGACAATTCACTCGAACTAACTCATTAGCATACTTACTTGTTGCTTTTTTATCATTCCAAGTTCGCATGGCAGGGAACAAGCCGAAATTGGGGTAGTAGATAAATTGTGATCGAATATTAAAAACTCCTGATTGAGTTCTAGAAAGTCAAACCACTTGCCCACAACCTGGAAAAAATATATTGATTTTCAAAACGTCCATAATGAATGTTTTATACTTTCAATAGAACGAAAATATACTAAATTAAATTTGACCCTCAAATTGACTTTTGATCTTCTTCCCAGGCAAAGGGAATATATGATGGGATGAAAGGGCACACACGAGAAATATATTTATACCGGAGAAAATTTCTTGGATGATTCAGTTTGCTTATGAAATTCTCGTTACTCGAAAAAAGTTTGTACCTATTTGTTTTATATATATAAATAACTAAAGTAAGTAAAGTTTTATATATATAACTAAAGTACGTGCAGTATTAAATAGCGTTTGTCGAAATCATGCAACCGTGAAATTTATTTGCCGAACAATTTTTCGGTGAACCGTTGTGGCATGTTTCCAAATTCCCAGTTGAAATGCGAAAGGAACGAAATTAAATCGGGTGACTTCAAATTCTGCTGATTTGATGAAGGGTATTTGGCCCATACAGTTGGAGAGTTTCTCAGTTTTTTTATATTTTACTGTCACCTTCTTTATCTAGGACATTTTAAGCATTCATAACGATCAGACTACGAAGGTTCTCAAGGTGAAAGTTTTCTAGGCTTATAAGCTGTGGATTATTTTAATTATTCTAATGGTCCAGGGCTTATAAGCCCGGAAAGTTTTTCAACGGACATTGATAACAATTTCCATTTTTACAATAATTCTTACACAACATTATATGTTAAAATTCATTAGCGTTTACTATACGAAATTTAACTCATTGTTTTTAAAAAACACGTAAAACTGATATAGCAGTTAATATCTAGCTAGGGACTATGTTCGGTCTCGTTCTATATATCTACCCGATTTGGTATTTAATTTTTATTATTCCCCCAGTAAAGTTTTTACAACTGAAATGAACTTAAATTGGATAAGAAATGTTGCACACCTACACTGTTTTTAAATAAAAATAATGGCATGATAGATACTTTACCAATTTTTGGAGAATTATTCACCCATGTAGCAATTAAAGTGAACTTAATATCAATAAATTTCCTGGATAAAAACTAGAACGAGTTTTAATCTGAGAATAGTAAAGCAATAAAAACCAAGAACCTTAAAGCTCGCCCAAACTTCTTACCTTATAATGATATCCCGAAGAATTTGGCAATCTCTGATAATTAAGAATGTCATATCGAGCCAACCCATCTCCACTTTTGTCGAATTTTACTGGGCTTCCCACCAGATCTGGAACAAACAGGATAATTTTGTAAAATTCAATTAAGATTAAAGCAAAAATAATATATTTATGCGACTAATTCCTTTGTTTTGTTTCAGGATAGACGCCATGTCTGAATTAACATGTAAGTTTGGAAAATTAGTTTGTCTAAATATTTACTATCGGTTAAAAACAGTGTATTGAAAAGTAAGTTACTGCGATGATTAGCGCATAAAGATACATAAAATGCGAAAGTTCCCCATTTCCCAAGTTTAATACCTTATAGTGTTGAAAAGACCTGGGCTTTATAAATTCCGCATAAATAATTATAGGCTTTAGCGTTTAAGAGCTGATATAACGGCTTTAAGTAGAAGTTAATCTTTTTTTAACAGCTAATGTTTGACATGATACATTGAGAGCCGAAGTTTCAGGCCAAAAATAATTTTCCGAAGTTTTTTGACTGAAGAAAAGTTTTAATTAGGAAAATATATTAGCATTCAATCACACAGATTAATTGATATTCTCTTCACTCCAAACTATCAATATTGTTTGCTCGAAGTTTGCTGCTCAACGACATGTTTTGTCATACATTAAATGCGGTAATTCCTAACATTGGGCTTGTAATTGATTAAAGCAGGTGAAATTAGTCTGTTTACTTTCGCCACAATTTGCTGACGTGATTAACTTGTTCAAATCTTCTACATCAAGCATCATTATACTGGTTGTGGGTATCTGGAAACAAACCCTTCTAGATGTATAGGGAAGCGAAGCGGATCGCATTAAGGCCAACATATTTAGTTCCTACTTCTTATGGTTTTCGAGCAATTTACAAATAATTTTTATGCTGTAAATTTGGTTTTTGAGGAATATATTGTTGCACTGGATATTGTAGACTCAACTGAAACAACTCTTTTGTTCACTGTTCTTCGTTCGTTTGCTTAATTAAATATTGTCGAATAGCCGCTGTTTTTTCATGAATCGGAACACATTAGTCTGCAATGCTAAAGCTATGGGGATTATTTACTGGTTATAATACAGTTTTTGTTATTCTTTAATATAGCGAATAAGATCTGAAGGACAATCTACAATATAATAACGCATTTGAATATTTACAAGTTAGTGTAGTCCATACGAGTTTTTGACCATTTTTCCTCTAAATACCCTGTATGTAGCTGTGAGGAATTCATGCAATGAAAATTTCCATCACCAGATTTTCTGCATTTTAGCTTCACCATATGTGAACGTTAATCTCCTTTGCCGGATTTACGGATTTTTTCCCTGAATTGAATTTTCTAACCGTTATGCTTCTTCGCGTCTTACATTTTTTGTCCGAATATTTTTAGGAAAAGTGTTTTATTAATAATAGTTTGAAAATATATTTTACCACTTTAACTTCCAACCATACGGACATAGTAAAGACATTTAAATTATTTATTGAATATTATTAATTGTAAATACGTAAAAGTTCTTCCAGAAACTTGCCTAATTGCTTGAATGCTTCCGCGCCAACTATGTGTTAACAATTATTTCGTATTGATTGTGTACCCAACTATAATTTTGAAACAAAAATACCGGCAATTCGAATTTGGAATTGCCTCCGGTTCAAAATCCATATCCACATTAATATTTGTTTTGCCAGAGTTACAGCGCTTTTGATTTTTTTATTATTATAAAATAGAGACGCCTTTAGATATGCTTTTAATATCGCTTATACGGCTAAAGATTGAAAATCTAGTTGTTGAACTATATAGCAAATATCGTGCGTTTCATTGTCTACTTGCTTGAGGTGTTTGATTTATTAACAACTTTATTGTATTGTGTTATTATTGATTTATTACCAATTAAAGAAAAGCAAAAATTACAGTATATTACAGGCTAATAAGAAATGCTGCTTTTAAATGTTCTGCATAAGTGATTCGACCGTTAGTTCACCTGCCTTTAAACCACTAGACAGATGAAGAAATGTTACTACGCCATACTGACAGTAACTCCACATGAAAACGTTAAATTACTTAAATTATTAAATATAACTGGTTAAATTAATAAATAGTTCATTTCAATTTTCATTTGCAATGCAAATATTTTAAATTTACCGTATTTATTGCTTTCGGTTTACTTAAAACCGTACCCTTTATTAATGGACAATTTGCGGATTTTTGTTTTTTCCTGAATTGCGGATTTTTTTAATGTGGGGAAGTTTCCAAAGTTATTTAATAAATAATCAGCAAGAGAATCCCATTAAAAGTTTAACAAGGCTGTCACGTTTGGTTGAAAAGAAACGTTTCTTATTCGAAGTAATACGCTGAATAAATGGTTTTATTAAATTTGAGCTTCTCATACAAGAAAATATTTTATCCAAAACAGTTGTTGATTGCTCTCACCGAACATTCCAATTGTTTACAACAATTCGGTTCGTTAGTGAAGCCGCCTTTACGTGTAATCTAATGAACGGTTACACTTTTTTCTATAACTGCATCCAACCCGGTTCTGATCAATTCAAAGTTTTTGCATTAAGAACTCCAACTTCTATTTCTAAAGGCACAATAAAACGTTTATTTTTACATTTTCCTTATCTGCAGGTAAAGCGGTTTGTTAGGTTGACATTTTGGTTGAGAGTTGAATATTTTTTAATAATAAAAGAGCGTTGCCCATTTGGCCGTGCTTCAGATAAAGCAATGTATGCCCAGTGTTCTGTGCGTGATCTTTTTAACCATGTCTAACACGTCCAGTCACAATCCAGATTAGGGTGATAATATCAACTAAAGCTATATAAGTTGGGGTTTTTTTGACGAACTTTGTTGTCAGGCATTTTAACCAAGGGCGATTTACAAATTTTGAATTTAATAAATAGTTGCAGCGGATTTATACAGTTATTATCAAATCCAATTGGACTAATCAATGTAGAAACAAAAGTTACTTTGATAAAAGCATAAAGACTCATGCATTTGACGCAATGCTTACGGTTGTATCTATCGTGGAGAAATATGGGATTATCTATAGTACTTTATTTTACAATGTGGTGACAACTGTATACTTGCATATCCCATTTTTCATGAGTAATTAATTATGAACATTCCGATGTTCAAGTTATGGCAAAATTAATCTTCAATAACAATGGCTCATTGTCAGATATTCATCGATGCAAAATTGGCACAATCGCTCATATTATTAATTGACTACATAATGTGGTACGTTCATTTATTCTTGGCAATTGCTGAGTAGCAATACTAAATTTTCTCGAATGTAATTGCCGGAGGGTGACATTTTTCTTGCTAATTGTGTTCCTAATTTACTGATGTGCAATTATGAGCTTTGAATAAAATTAATTACAATGTTTTTGAGTTTTGCACCAAATGTGTTTTAATTGGATTAGCATTGATCTTTGCTGTTAACGGAAGCAGAAGATTCTCTACACAGATTTTATTATAATAAAAATCTAAGTTAGATTACTTGAAAATTAATTCATTCGGCTCTTACAATAGTCTCCAATTATAATTTTTCTCATTGTAATGGACTTATCTATCTTTAAAAGGCGATTTATTAAGAATGGACTTTCTTGATACTAGAGATGCTGACAATCCAAAGTATCAATACTTAGTAGACTCCAAACGTTTGCATCTCCACGATCTTTGCATAGTATATTAAATATTGGCATCGTAAATACAGAGCTTTGTAAAGAGAAAATATAATTGATTCGTGGAATTTGCTGCGTGGAATATTGTCAAAGTTTTCAGTTTGACGTGGTTACACAAATTCAAAAAGAATACATCGCCATAAAAGGTTTTCTCTATGAATTCGCTAACTACGTCAATCCAATTTTCCCAAAGCCAACAGGAAAAAATCACTCTCTAGCCCCTGGATATTCTTGTATTCGTTACCAAAATAACCGATAAAATGCAGAATTTTTCGATACGCTGGTTCTCATATAGGTTATATGTGATTAAAAATAATTGATTTTCTTGTTCATTACATAAATATTACATATTTTCTTTTACTTGTTTTTAATATACACTCCTGGAGAAAAAAGCGGATACGATAAATATTATTCCATTTAAATAGTGCTTAGATTTTTTAGTTTTGCACCGATTTTGACCACTTTATCGGATTATCGTGGGCGTTTCCATCCCAACTATTAACTGATATGAGTTTTGTCAAAAGTTCGAACTGGTTTGTAATTATACAGATTAAAACCAAACGCTGTTTTATTACCTAAATTTGTTACCACTCTGTGTCATATATCTGCATGGGTTAGTAAGCTTCATGCTTACGTAAAATTTTTACAACTGATTTTTTGATTCATGATTATACATCAACTCTGAAACGCGTTTTTTGTAACAAAATGATACGTAAGGTATCTTCAGTAATTTTTCAAGTATTATTTAATTTAATTTGACTGAAACAACAAAATTTAATTTCGAAAAACTTAAAATCAGATTGAAAAGAATGCAACCTGAAGCTTACCATTGAAATTTAGGTTTAATATGTAGGATTCATAGAATTCTCCTCCGTCAAATCGAGTCATTTCAGGACAGACACCTTGATGTTCATAATCGATGCACATGTCTTTGTTGAGTTTGTCCAAAGCCAGGGCAAAGGCATACACAGCATCCACAACAAATTGTACTTTGCTTTCTTGCTCGTATCTGGAAAGATGAAAATTGTTAGGATTTAGGGTCTGGATATCAATGTACGCGCTGTTTCAACAATGCGTACATGTTTAACTGTAATTAATATCTTTTTGAGACTCTCTTAAATCATAAAACCCTTAAAATACCGAGACTTTGTGCGGAAAGGGAGACTGTAATGACCTTTCGATACAGCAAAATATACAGCTCTGACCTGTCAATAGAATATTGTATTGTTAAAATAACTGAAATCCTTTAATCAATGACATTGAAAATACGGACAATGTCAATGATAATAAATTGACATGGATGTATTATTCTCATATTGTTTTAGAGCAGTAAATATTGACAATTTTTAAATGAGATTACTTTTCTGTCAAAATACTACCCTACTGCTTGGTCCTGAATAAAATTTGCAATCCAATTATTGCAGCGGACAGTATAGTAGCAATAAAAATGTGTGGAAAACAGGCAGCAGACTGATAAAATTTGCATGATTTTAATAGGAAATATTCAATTAACACACACAAATTTGGTTTGTTTAAATAAATAAATATACATTTGCACCCAAGCAGCTAGTGCATAAAAATTATCTACTATTTGTAATCAGCTAATTATTAAAAGTCCTCTACACTTCGTGAATGTCCGTTGACCAGTTATTTTTTTAATTTCGTGAGCATTCTTGTTATCTTAAATTCAGCTTCCGGTTATAAACGGGAAAACGATTACGATTCATGGCAACTTCCCATACAAAAATCACATTTTGTTGGTATTTCTTAAAGGGACTTTACGTGATACTCATCGACAAATTAAAGTTTGCTTACTTATCAATCTATCTATCGATTGCCCTTGAAGTAATACAATGAACTTGTCCAGCTAATGGTGTTTTTCATTTGACGATTCGAAAATTTCTAAACATTTACCTCCGGACGGTTTGCAAGAAAAAAAAACCAAAATTGAGCGCTTGGATACGAAAAAACAGTCTAAACTTCATTTGCAACAAACAATCAAAACGTAATTGAACGTGTTGGGTTTAGAGCTTGTGCCGAGCCCCTCCAGGACGACAATGATTTTGCCTCGGAATTTAATGTTTTGAGACATTTTGCGGGTGTTTTAAGTTCAATGGCTTGCTTCTGGCCTCTCTTCCAAAGTGCATATTTGCGTCTATAACAAGAAATTTGTCAGGTTAAAGATTGCACCTGAGCAAAAGCCGCTTAAAATGGGAGAAAAATGTCAATTATTTCGAATTGAAAGCTAGTAGCATGCTTTTCAATTAGTTTTCATTCATTTTGAGTGACTTGATATTTTTCAAAAAAATCGACCTCTATTCCTTCAGATATCTCAGTCTCTTCGATATGCATATTTAATGTGTTGGAGTAGATAAAATTATGATAAAAAAATGAGCCATAAATTGTCCCTTATTTCGGATCTAAATATTTCAGAGTAGTTGTCAATGAGCGAGTTGCATTCCTCGTTTTTTGTGCAGAAAATGATGTAGAATTCCAGGTTCTATTGAAATAATTTATAGTTTTCGAAAAAATCAACCTCAACCCTTTGATTTCCGATCAAAATCCAAATTTCACTTATGTATTTTTTGTGTTCAATGGATTGCTTCTGACCTAAGAAGCTTTCTATTATGCGCATTCAAGGTATTTGGATCCCTAATAAAGAACATGTTGTCGGTTAAAAATTCTGACTGGCCAAAAACCGCATAAAATGTCAATTATTTAGAATTTAGAGCTTCTATGGTATTTTTGCATGCGCCGTTCACATTCCTTACTTAATTGCAATGAAAATTATGTGAGATTTGAGGAATTTTGAGAGTTGATATTTTTTCAAAAAATCTATTTTACCTTTCAAGAAATTTTAAGAAAAATAAAAATTTCCCTTGCATATTTTTTTGTGCTCAATAGATTGCCTCCGACCTAAGAAGCTCACCAATATGCTTATTCAAGATGTTTGCCGTCATAATACAGCCAATTTTGTCGGTTAAGTTTCTCGGTCTATAATAAGGAAAATATCGACGGTTAAAGATCGTGACCGATCAAAAATCGCTTAAAAAGTCCAATATTGCCACTCTCTTCGGATTAGAAGGTTCAGATCCGACAGGTCGATAGTCCCGTTATAGACATCAAAGGTATGTATTTTTTTATAGATATACAACTAGAAAAAGGTTAGGAGGATCATTTAAGTTGTTTTTTTCTTTAACTGTAGCTTCAGCTCAAAAAATGGGCGTTATTTTTATTGACCACTTCCCCAGATATGAAAATTAAAGGAGATAGACATGTTAAAGGCTATGATTATTTAGCAACAGTGATACTAAATTTTTAGTATACCTCATGAACCATTTGAACTGTAGAGCTCGTATTAATACTATCGAAAAACCAATTTACCGAGTGAAACTTGAGTTAATAATTAGCGAAATTTGAGTATTAGACATTTAGCTTCTCCATTCCTTCAAATATGACGCCACTTTTTTCCTCGCATCTTAGAGGCAAATTGATTCAGCACCCTTATTTCTTTACCACTGGATAAAGAATTACACAGACTTATGATGGGAAACATTACTTAGAAAATGTTGGCCATTTTTACACAAGAAATAAAATTTTAACATCATTTTTACTTTCGAGCCATTGGAAAAATTGTATATTGAGCATTGGCTCAAACATGACGCCACTTGCTTTGGTTATAAAAATCCGTGTGAAGCCCATTTGTCAAGTGAGACACACACAAGAAGATACCTTGTGGATTACACGTTTCTGTAGATAAGGTAATCGTTTCAAACGTGATGCCATTTTTTTGCTCACATCTCAGAAAAATCGAGTTGGAGCGCTTATTGGGGGTTTTCACAAAACAAGCAAAATGTTTACATTACTTTTAGTTTGCGCGGTTTTGGCAAAAGTTGGCCATTGGCTCAACCATGACAAGAAACGCCATCGTTTCCAACATGATGGCCCCTTTTTGTTCATATCTTAGGATGAAATTAAGCTTGAGGCTGTTGAATGAAGATTCAAGTAACACAGTCATGACATTTACACTACATACAAACGTCACAAAAAATTAAATTTAAGTATATTTCTATTGATAACTAATTTGCAAATCATTGCTTGGAAACAGATATTAACAATCACTAAATGCAAAAGCGCCTTTCCGATAGAATTATTTAGCAGTAATTTAAAATTTAATATCCTGTGTCTCCGTTAATTTTGCTATTTGGGAAAAAAAGGCGCAATTAATAATTATTAGTTAGGGCTAACAGATACTGGTGGTCACGGAAATATGTCTTAACATTTGGAGTTGACTTAAAATCAGTTTGCGTTTAAGCAGTTAGCTGAATATTTCATAAGCATTATCAAGAAATCAATATTATTTATCTCTATTAAATTTGAGCACCTTGCGAACTCCGTTTATCGTGGCGAATGGAAAAGAGCTCTAGTGACGCCACTACCTAAGCCAAGTGATCCGCGGAAATTTAAGGACCTGAGACCCATTAGCGTCTTGCCGTGTTTATCAAATAATCTGGGAAATATTACAAACGGGCAGCTGCTGGCGCACGCGTACGTTTTTTCTTTTTCCTGATACTCTGTCTAGATTTTGTAGTTCTTCTATAGCGCTGGCGCTGTGCTACAGCGTTAGCAATTGGCCATACACTGCATAGCTCCACCTTTGAGATTAACGGATTAAAAATAATTGTTTAACATAGACATTTATTGAAAATTTATAGCTGTTTATCATTATCAAGTCTTAAATTACTAAAAAAGTACTTGGTTTTATTATTGAAAAGTCGGTGAATCTGCACCATAAAGCAAATTCCCCCAGGCTTACTAAACTGATAAGCTCTTGTGATAAACTTTCGCAAAAAGTTTTACTTTGAGCCCAAGCAGAACTTGCGAAACAAAATTAATCGAATTCTAGTTTCATTTCAACAAACCACACATTATGTCTTGAATTGTAAAATATTTGTGCTATTCCAGGCTTGAATTGCGATAGTAACTTAAGGTATTTACATTTTTTGATAAAAATGGAGTAAGTACATACTTCACAGTAGTTTATTTCTCAAATATAACATAAAACACTTATTTTAGGTTATGATTATTAAATAATCTTTAAGCATATATATGAAATATATATGTAGAATATTTTTGATATTCATTTTTGGGCTTATCAGCAGTGACTGACAAATGGGCAATACTCTCCATAACGTATGAATAAGTGCAATACACAATTATCTCCAAGTATCTTGAGTTTTTGAATTTAAAGCAAGATCATTTTTCAAGCCAGTTGATAAAGCATGACCCAGCGGCGAATGCAAAGACCGCTTGAGCATTTATATGATGCATCCGGAAATAAAATTTTATCACACCCCTGGTTCGCAAAACGGTCGGACGAAAAATATATAAATAACAATATTTAGAATAAGTTGGCAGTCCAGAATATCCTAAATGTTTTCCTCTCGCAGATAAAACTGACAATTATTTATGCTGGCTTGTGTTTTAAATTGACCACATTTTTCTATTTCTCTTTTGCTCAAAAATGCGTTTCAGGTGATATAGTTAGGATTTGTTTTGGTTTAGAATCATTTATAAGAATATTAGTTTTGGCTGAAGCCTTCCCTTTTAGAATCAGTAGGTGGCATTTTAAAAATATATATTTTTTAAAGATAATTGATATTTATTTGAGGTAATGGCAAGTGTAATCGATGTTGGAAGTCTCAATGTTAAACTGAAAATATAACCCGACCGATGAAAATTAAAATATGTAGGTACTGAATAATGTAACGTTGTTAAAATAGAGTTTAAAGCCCAACCGTTAATTTGATCAAATGGAAAATATCGTAAGAATATGTGCATGTAACAAGAACAGTGAAGTAGATAACATAGGTTTGTTTCATCTACACAACCACGAATTTCCTGCATGTATCTTTGAAAAATCAGAATCTCATGCCGATTGCCCAGACAGTGTGAGTTTTACGTTAAAATAAAATTGTTGGGAAAGTGCAGTGTAAACTGTGTTATTGA